GCTAGGAAAATGGGGCTCTGAGCATTTTTTATTAAAATTTTAATTTTTATTGCATTTTAATCTAACATTATCAAAAATTAAAGTGCAATAAAAATTAAAATTTTAATAAAAAATGCTCAGAGCCCCATTTTCCTAGCAAACCTCCCATATATTATTTTATTCAAACAATTGTTCTGGCGAAATAAAATCTAAAATTTGGCTTCCCGTAAGAGGCGTAAACAATTTCGCAAATGCTGAAATTGGCGAAACCTCCAAATTCTAATTATGATTGGCATATGCATGATTTGATTCTAAAAGATCATTGCGAAGAAAGTTTTATTTTTGCATATATGACGCGTAATTACATTTTGCAACAGTTAAACACTTCGTTCCTCTTTCTCCAATTCAAAATATTTTTTTCATTATGACTACAAATGGTTTTATTTTTTCTCCAAAAAAAAAAAAAATAAATAAATGGTGGCCGGCATAAATCATTTGTAAGGGGGGAGGAACAACTAACTAACTGCTAAGCAAGGTAAAAAAAGTATCTCAAGGTTATTATGAAGTAAGTATACTGTGAATGTTTTTGGAGAAAAGGTTCTCCACAAGATTCGGAGTCACATTTTCCAATGACTCTCCTAAAGCACCAGAAGATACAAGGGATTTTATTTTATATCTTCTTGCTGCAAAAAATGAAGGGGATACAACAAATATTTCAACTAAAAAACAAAAGTTTAATGATAATACTCAAAAGAAAAATCAGAATTTCATGAAAAATCCAATCTTTTTAGTGATTCGAACAAGTGTAAACGCATTTGTATGGCATGTCATTGAAAATCTATTTTTCCTTGTATTTAATGTCCAAACGTACGCCTCTATCAAAAGCAGTGAAACTTTTAGCACAAGTAACTGCAATTATAAACTAAAAAGACGTTTAGGAATTAAAAAAAATTCAAAAATCTCTACTTTTTGTAATTTTATTTTTTAATCCTGTAACTAATTTTTTTTAAAACCAAAAACATGTGGCAGACTAATCAGCAAATGAAACATATAATTTTACGAAGACCTTGACAATAATGAGCGAGTTGCTGAACATTCCAGCAGAAAAACAGATAATGATCATCAAACGATGTATTCAAAGCATGATACATCTGATTTTCTCTAAATGCTTCTCATCATAAAACCTGTGCTATCATAAGGATTGGCATGAATAAATAAAGTAGTTTCAGGGTGCCACAGGATGAAGTATTGAAAATCTTGTAAAGAATATGACCTCTATAGTAATGATGCGGAAGAGGTCATTTGCCAACTTCCGTAGAAAATTAAATAAAAAAATTGCTGCGAAATTCAATGAGTCAAAAGAAAGACGGTCAAGGGAAGGACGTAATATTACACAAACAAGGACAGAAATTGAAGAATTTATGTCCCAAGAGGTTGTTGAGCAAATATTATACAGATATTTAACCGGACTAAGCTTCAGCTCGTATTATTTCATTTATAATGCATTGTACTAAATACAATGTCAATGCTACCAAGAAACTTGATATTACTTGGGTAATAATGAGCAATAGATCGCTAGTAGTGGCACAAAGAACATTTACTTTCTTTATATTTATTTATTTACTTATTTATTTGTTCTATACGAAATATTAATTTAATTCTTTGCGAACTTTGCATAATATTATATCTCATTTAATACAACCAGTAAACATTTATTCTTTTATAATCTTTAAAATTAATCTATTCATTCGTTTACAATCATTTATTCTATGCGAAATATTTCTTTAAGTCAATTTTAGATGATTATATGCACGATGAAATCTGATATTACAGTTTTCCAGTCCGCTAAATTAATCTAAGTGTTTTATGACCGTTTATATAATACGTATTAACGATTATATTTTAAATATCAGATTACCAAGCGAACCGATATATCAATGCTGCCGCTCAAATTATAAACTTCAAATTTAGCAATTTCAAACATAAAACCTTATTTTTTTTTGTATATATTAGCTAATCACAAGATAAATCAACGGAATAAATGAAATTTTTACTTTTAAATTTTAAAAATCATATTTGTTAAAATAAATAAAATTCATATCGCCTCTACATAACCGACGTGAAGCAACAAGGTAGTGATACATCTTGTAATTATTAATTACTTGCATAATACAATACTCAAAAAAAAAGAACACGCCTAAAAAATCGATATTTTTTATCCAATTAGATTAAAAAAAATTTTTTTTAGTTTATAATTTAAACCATTTCCTAAACAATTATATCAAATACTGCGGTAAGATCTTCATATGTTATCGTTATAATTTTTGGGTTGAAAAAACACGTGTTATTTTTTTTAAAAAACCTTTCTTTTACATGATCAAGAATTATTCTTAGCGAATGTGATTGGTATTATAAATTGTAACGCATACAATTTTTTTTTAATTGAATAAATGTTTATATAAATTTTGTTTTAATGACTAAATTCAACAAATCGTTAACTACTGAGAAAAGTGAGTAGATGAACGTCTTTTTATATCGTATTCGCTACATTCAGGCTATTAATGTATGAGAGTCTCGAAGGCCTTTGTTGAGACCTTGATTCTTCGAAACCTTCCTTTACTTCCCGAGCCAGCAACTAAATTTGTAATTTGCTATTAATATTTGTTAATGCAAATCATTTATTATAAATAGCAAGAATACTTACGGCCCACTTTATCATACATTCATAAAAGAACACAAAGTCCGCCATTTCAGTGAAGTCACGTGGGAGATTCGCATTATCCACTTCATTCAGAAAGAACTTTCCTTCTAAGGTTAGAACATCATTAGTCAATAAAGTGTTATAATAATATAAATCAAACATACATGGCTTACCACAATAGTTTAAAAATTGTAGGTGAATCCTAAGGCGGAAACTTTGCCCACCAAAAACAGCAAGCGTTTTGGGAAATCTTCGTCTACATTTTATGTTATCTTTTACTATTTTTATAAAAATGTTTTGAAGGTTATAGGATATTTTTGAGGCATCCAAAATTTCTTTGTCACCATTAGCGTTTGGTTTCGATCCTTCCATATAAACTAGCTGAAATTTATCAGCTGCTTTTAGATACCCAACGCCGTCAGCACATTCACGTTTTATATGATTTTTTGATCCAATTTCTCCGAATTCATAGCATATTGCTGAAATATACCAAAGCGACGCCTGTAGACATGGGTGGACAAAAGAGTTCAAGTGTGGTTTTTCTAATGTAGCTAAGTTAAGTAGTGGATTTCGAGCTCCCATAGAAAACGCCATGATGCTACAAAATTTGAGTAAACATACTGTTAATATGACACCTATGAGTGAATGCAAATGCAAAGCATTTTTTGTACTTGGTATTTACAATGGAGGTAATGTTCTGCGCAAAATCCGTATAACGGATACCATTAACCAATCACTTTGATCCAAACAACATAGATCATCAATCTTGATGTGCCATTCCTCGCCGGTCAAATCTTGCTGAAAAAACTCTATCAGGACTTTGTGAATATTAGGTGGAATTAAATTCTCAATTTTGTTGTCAAGATCTTTAAGATATAGTTCCAGAAGTTTGAAAGGAAGTTTCTTGAAATAGTTTGAATTAGGCCGTAAGTCTATTGAATTTTCATCGGGATATAGTGTATCATGGTGTTGGCAGATAGATTTCATATTTTCCGAGCATTGAAGATTACTGCACAGCAGATCTTTTAATGATTTTTGATTTGATTCCTACAGAAGAAATAAATTCATCAATATATTTCCTAATACTATACATTATAGATAAGAATTTATACACTACAACAACCACATCTGTTTTGGCGGTACTTGAAGCTACTGAAGGTGTCTGCTAATGGATTAGTAACAATATTAACATAATGCAATTACTGTAATTTTCAAATATAAAGCATACACCACAAATATTATTAAACAATTACTTCACCTCATTATCTTGAATGTCTTCTTCATTCTTCTCACTGTTTTCAAGATTCTCTTGAGTATTTGATTTATCATCTATTCGATAATACTCAAAATCTGTTATTAAATTCATAAATGATGCTGATTTTTGACTAGTTAAACGTTGTCTTTTTTCATTCATTTCGATCATTAAAATCATTCTAAAATATTGAAACATAAAATTAATTCAATCCAATGTCAGTGAATATATTCTCAACGGAATTACCTCTTCTTCAACCTTTGATTTTTTTTTACGTTTTTCTAGCTTGTTATCCAATATCCGTTCTTCAGCACGACCTATTTCTTCTCGCGTAGCAATGCTTTGTATTTCACGCTAACAATATTCAAGAAAAATTAGTGAATACTATATTATATTAAAATTATAATAATGTCAAAAACAATACATAATACATACTTTGTTTATTCGGTCAGAAATTGCAAGCGATTTCAATCTCTCAATATGATTTTTCCATATTAAATTGTTGGCAAAATCGTTATCACGGTTCTTGGTAAAAAAGTGAAAAGAGTTAATCAAATCTTTATATAACCTAACTGATTGCCCACACATACTATGATGGGGCCCGAAGACCCAGACCATAACATGCTTCCCCATTTCAGGCAAGAACACGACTTGCCTTGTGTGACAAATCACTCAGAACACGACTGCAGGGTATAGGCAAAATAGAAAATAATATTGTGCTACCAACGCATAATATAATGGGACCTAAAAAGTCCAGACTATAATACACTTCCCACTTCAGGCAACAACACGAGTTGCTTTGTGCAAATAAATTGCTCAGAACACGACTGCAGGGCACGGTATTATGCACTTGTAACAAAAAAGAAGGACTAACCTCCAAGGCCCTTTTCAAGGCATTTGCTTTGGTAAAACGACGACTCGATTTTGGCAGCTTGCTAAGGAGAGTGTTAAGTTCAATACTCAGGGATCGATGTGCTTCTTCTTTACTGCATCCAGGTATCTGATCAACAAAATAAATATCCCAGTCACTTAAACTACCCCAAGTATTTGGACTTCGACTCCAATATGCTAGGAAAAGAAAGAAAGTTATTAAAAGGTACTTCTAATGATCATATGAAATTTAAACACAAGCTTACTTGGATGTTGAAGATTCAAGTTTTTAATTTCTTTAACAGTAGTGGGAGATTTTGCTGTAGACATTAAAAAATTTTTACGCGTCAAGCTTATAAAAAATCAAAACTAATAATAAAATATACTTTGTAACACACTTTCACGATTTTAATTTTAAATCATAACAGTCTTGTAACATGTGTGACATGTCACTTGACTGATATGTGAATAATTTGATTTATAAAAATTTTAATAGAATTACTATATTCGTATTCTACGGCCTTATCAAAAGATAACGCAGTAAAGCGCAGAGACCACAGATAGACAGTTATATTTATTATACTCTTATCTTATACGTTATGGATATTGTACGGTGTGTTATTTATATTGGTTAACGTCACTTCGTGACGTTAACCAATGTAAATAATCGCCGTACAAATATCTATATCATCGTACGGCTCACAAGATCATGCTGTATAAAAAAAGGCTTATCGAATCCTAACAATTCTTTTTCTTAATTTCTATTATTCTTTAACATTATCTCAAACCATATGCAATGCGAAATAAAAGCATTTATAAAAAAAAATTCTTATAATATTAATTTCTAAATCTCTAGAAAATAATATTTTCTGCTATCCAAAGCAAAGTTTAGTTAAAATTATTATTCCGCAGTAGGAATATAATAAAAGAAATGATAGAAGAATGTTATTACCTTATGTTAATAATTTACATTTTTTT